AGTCAGAGCCACACAAGGGTGGTGGCACACATGCCTCCTGCCAGCTCTCCAGGAGGCTGAGGCAGGAGAAGCGCTGTAAGTCTGAAGCCAGCCTGGGTACACAGTGAGTTCAAGGCCAGCCTGAAACACATAGCAAGACCCTGCCTCAAAAGAAAGGGGGAGAGCAGTAGAAAGAGAAAATAGGGAGAGGGAGAGAGGAAGAGGAGGAGGAGGAGGAAAAGACGTGGTATAGGTGGCGGCGGCAGCGGTGTGGTCCAGGTTAAAGACTGGCAGTTGGCAAATTCTCCATGAAGAGCTGAAGTCTTCCTTTTTCTTGGGGGCAGGGGGACAGCCCTGGGGATTGAAGACAGGGCCTCTGCTGTGAGCTGCAGTCCCAGCCTCTTCTTTAAGACAGGGTCTTGATTAACTGCCCAAATTGGGTTCAAACTTGCAATCCTCCTGCCTCAGCTTCCCAGAGGTCCGGGCACGAGACACCATGTCCAATTTAAAGTATAAATGTTTGTTTGTGTATGTGTTTGTTGCAGGTACTGCCAGCAGAGCATAAAATCAGCCTTGGCTATGTTTAAACAGAAGAGTATGGCCCTGTGCCAATAAAACTTTATTTACAGAACAGGCGGCACAGTTCAGCCAGAGGACTAGAGCTGTGATCAAGACCCCTGCTGTGTCAGAAAGGGTGCAACCAGATATGACTGAGCCCAAGAGCCGCAGGTCAATGAACAGTCTGGGCCCTGGATGGGCACACACAACAGGGAAGGAAGGGGCGGACAACTGCGAGAGACAGGAAGGCAGGGTCACCTTGGGGAGCACTACCAGCAATTGGGGAGGCACACACCAGACCAGGCGCCCAGGACAGCAGCTGGAGGTGACATAGCCAGGACCCTGAGGACCAGCCCAAGAGGCTGCGGGAGAGGCCAGGGGTGCAGGGCTGTTGCACGTGGGTGTTAGGTGCTCACAAAGGGAAGGGCTCAAGGGTGTGTGAGGCTCTGGACAGAGGTGGGGACAGGGAGGGACAAGTGGAAGAGTCAGGAGGACACAGCGGACAGAGCCCTTAAGTATCGTGCATTGTGCAGCTAAAACAGAGCCGCAAGGAAGACCCCCAGCTGCGAGGACCAGGGCCGCCCCCAGCACCCCAGAGCACTCAGGACGCCCACAACGACTCTGCCAACTCCTGCAAGTCACCAAGGACTGGCTAGAATCACACAGAACTGGAAGTCAGTGACGGAGTGGGGTAAGCCAGGGACCCCAAGGGGTTTACCCCTCGATCTTTCTGAATGAGTGCAGAGGAAGGGAACAGCTGGGTCTCTGGGACAGCAGCACAGGTTAGGGGGACCTGGGAGACAAGGCCAGTTCAGTGAACAATGCGCACCTCCAGGGTGCTGTACAGAGCCAGCCCACCCAGAGGGAGGGGAAGGAGGGGGAGGATGCCCAGCATAATGCAGCGGAGGACTCCACAGGAGGGCAAAGGGATGGGGAAGAGGCACTCCGGCCCCTACACCTCCGAGGATGAATCCATCTGTCCTTTAACACTCGAACTACCACCCTCCGCGCCCTGCCCCAGCCAGAGCGCTGCACTGGTGGACGTCACAAATTAATGATCTGGAAAGTCCGTTGCCCCTTTCAGGGCCTCCAGGAGACATCACATCTCAATTATTCCATAGGGTTTTGTTAACCATTATCCCAGATCGGAGGTGGTGGAGGAGGGACCTCAGAGCAAAAACTGTGTGTTAAGAAACTAGCAGGCTAGCCAGGCATGATGGTGCACGCCTGTCATCCCAGCACTCAGAAGGCTGAGACAGGAGGGTCGCCACAAATTCGAGATCAGCCTGGGCTAAAATGAGCTTAAGGCCAGCCTGAACCGCATAGGAGAGACCCTGTATCAGAAACACACACACACACACACACACACACACACACACACACACACACAAGAAATGGTAAATCCATTTGGCCTCAAACTTGTGGCAATCTTCCCACCTCAGCCTCTCGAGTGCCACCACACCCTGCACACTTGCACACAGGAACACAGAGCCGTGGACAGGTCTAGAGACGCGTCTTGGATTTTCTTAGCAAGAACCAAAGCAAGCACCTACCATATGCAAGGCCCTCGGCTGCCTGGAGCCCTTATGCAGCAGCAGAACCCGCTCAGCCAAGCTGTAGATCAACTCCCACGCCTCCTGCCCCACCAGCAAACGTAGGACCCTCCACTAGTTCCCTGACTGTGCAGCCCCCTCCTCGGCATGATTAATTTCCTTTTATGGAGAGATCTAAAGCAGTGGTCCAACAGGTATCTTTAAGGCAGAGGTTCACACCTCACCATAGGAAAACTCACTACACTGCCTTGCATTGGTTTTCAATTTTGGGTGCGCCATCCCAAGGGCGGGTGTCAAGCGGGAGGAGGACGCTCAGGGTTTGGTAGGGCTTGCCTGTCCTCTCAGTGTGACACCCAAGAAGGAGACCCAGGAGGTCAGGACCTTGGGGAGCCCATCCTCAAGGTCAAAGGAGGAAGCTGAGGGGCAGCTGGAGTCCACAGCCTGGAACAGGACCAGACAGAGAGGTTCAAGCCCGCCTCTCTCCAGGACCTTAAGGTCCGGTCTGCGCCTCAGTCTACCCTTCCGTGCAAGGGGTGCACTGAGGATGTGCCTCCAGCAGTCACAGGAAGGATATAGGCGGCGACAAGTTCAGCGCCTCTGGTGATTCCTACTCTAAGGATCTCGCTGGGAAACCGCACTGCCGCTACTACAATCGCTGCTGCTGCCAAGCGGCGCAGAGGAGCCCGCCTCTGGCCATCTGGAAGCCGAACAAACTCGGGCCATCTGGAAACCGAGGCGTGAACTCGAGGGGACACGAGTCTAGATCCAAGGAAAGGCGATGGGGATTTCTGTGCCTTCTCCCTGCAGAAGCGTCTCCCTCGGAGTCGGGCACCCGGCCTTTGGCTTCAAACGCTACGCGCCGGGGCGCTTGGCTATCCAAAGCCGTCCCGACCCAGCGACCTCACTTCCCAGCGGCGAACCTGTGAGGACGCGTGTCTCTGCGTCTCCCGCGCGGGCTGGGCTCCCCGAGGGGGACAGACAGGGCTCAGGAGAGGCGCCGGCGGCAGGGCGCGAACTGGGGCAAAGTTCCCCGGCCCCGGTCGGGCAAAGGCCAAGGTCAGCGGCTTCCCGCCCGGCCGCGGGGCCCCGGCCACCGTCCCGGCCAACGCCCCCACCCCTAGGGAAGGTTCGGGCTGTGCCTCGGCCGAGCGGGCTGGCGGGACCCCTCCCCACCGCCCGCGCTCGCTCCCCCAGACTCACCCTCTCCGAGGTACAAGTGGCCCGTGACGCCCACCAGCAGCGCGGCCAGGGCCACCAGCAGCGGCGCGGCCGCCGCCCCCCGCGCGCCCATGGCTCCCGGAGCGCGGGGTCCCCGCCGATCAGAGCGCGCGGAGCCGGCCCGCGGGGGGCATCATCTGAGGCGGCCACCCGGGAGGCTCCGGAGCCGCGGGCCCTTCTCTCCGTCCCACACCCGGCCTCAGCGCGCACCGGAGAGGCCTGGGGACCGCCGGGGAAGGCGCAGCCTCGCCGCCTGGAACGCGAAGGCAAGGCGCGGCGCGGGCGGCCCCGACCCCCTCCCGGCCACCGCGGCCCGGCCCGGCCTGCGATCTCAGGGCCCGAAGCTCCGCGCCGCGTCCCTGGCTCCTGGCGCTCGGCCCCTCGCGCTCCGGGCCGCGATCTGCGGACTGCGGGACGGGCGGACGCGCGGACAGAGGGACGCGCGGGCGGGCACCTGGGCGGCGGGAGCCAGGACTGCTCGGGCCCGTAAACAACGCGGCCGTCAGCTGGGCCCCGTGCGGGCCGCGCGAAAAAGCGGCGCGGAGTGCGCCTGGGAAGGGACCGTGCGCCGGGAGAGGCCCCGGGAGGGGGTGGGGCGGGGAGGAGCTGGGGGCGGGGTCCGCTCTGGACCCGCCCACTCCACCTCCCCGCGCTGGGCCCCGCTCCCGCAGCTCTGAGCTCACCGCGCCCAAAGGGGCACCCAGGCTTCCCGCCCTGCGTGAGTGCCCCACTCAGAACCGAATCTCCAATCTCAGGTCCCCGGAGCGCCCCAGATGCTCGACCCAAATTCACGGAACTTATGTCTTTTGTCATTTTAATATTTTTTTTATTAGAAGATTATCTTGAAATTCTTCTTCTAATGAAAAAACAAAATGTGACAAAGTAACAAAAGCCTAACAGACTACGTCGTATCATTGTCTTCAAAAGTAGTTACTCCGAGACAAAGAAAGATTGTCTAGATTCCTTACAATCGTTTTAAACGTTGCATAGAAACGTTGTTTCCCTTGGTCAAGTTGGGGGGGGGGGGACTCTCTTAAATTTTGCAGCCCAAGCCATCCTCCTTGCCTGCATTCGGGTCCTGCAGTGTCCGGGCAGGCACGTCAGAGGCCCTTGCTCCCCTCCTGCACCCCCGCCCAGCCAGCTACAGCAGCAACCACGTGTCCACAGCCCGCTAGCTCCTAGTGTGTTGCAGCCCGGGCCCCTAGGGCAGCCCGCCATTGAAACTAAAGAAGCGACCCCGGGAGATTATACGGAAGTTCCTAAAAAGCAAAAGGGGCGCTGGGGACCTCACACAGCGGGCAGGTGGACGCGCTCGAATCCCAACACGGGTGCCAGAGCGCAGAGTCCTAGGGTCTCGGGGCCTCCTCCATGCTCAGGGCGTCGCTAAGGCCTTCGGTCCTGCAGGAAGGCGAGTCAAGTGTGCAGATAGGGGGTGCGACTCCCAACCCCACACTTCCTGTGTAGTCGGGGATGGGTGACTTGGGCAACTCCTAGCCTACCTACCTTTGTAATGCGTTTGCGCATTTCTCACGCCTCCGGATTTGGAGAATGCTTGAGAAAGAAAATTGCAAAAGCAACTGAAACCACCCTAGACCCAAGCCACTCACTCCTTCTCTGCATTAAATAAATACTAGTTTTTCAGGAGCAAGGCCAACGTTGCTCCAAAAGTCAAACTTACCCTGCCAAAAGGCCTGACCCTAGCTGGGCAGGGTGGTGCACCTCTGCCACAGTCAAGAGGCTGAGACAGAAAGATCGCTCCATGTTCAAGACCAGCCTGGACTACAAAGTGAGCTCAAGGCCAGCCTGAGCTGCATAGCAAGACCCTGTCTCAAAAAGATGCAACAATTTTTAAAAAATAAAATAAAAAGTCCTTCCCGCCAGCCAGACCGCGGCGCCCTCCCCGCCTGGCCTCCCTGCCTGCTCCTGGCAGCCTGGCCCTAGCCTTCAGGGCCCCTCCCTCCCGGTCCTTTCTTCCCTCTGTTTCTGTAGCATGCTTCTCTCTCCCCGAAATTCTTATTTATTATTTTAGAGCCCTTCTTCCCTCCCACCCTACAAAGGTAGGAATCTCGTCGGTCTTGTTCACTACCTCGTTACCCCTGGCGCCTGCCGTCTCAGCTGATAGCTAAATATTTGTTGAATGAAAGAAACCACAGGCAATAAGTAAGACGGGCTCCACAGTGCCTTTGGGTAAATAGGCATAGAGCGTTTCCTTGTAAGCGCCCACAATAGGGGGGAAACCTGCGGGCAAGAAGCACAGGGATGCAGAAAGAGGTGAGGAGAGGAGATAGGGCTTGAAAGGAGTGGGGAGTGGGCCAGGGAGCGGGTAGAGGTGCACACAGAGGAAACCGCCCATGCAAAGGCCCAGGGGATTTTTTTCTTTTTAACATTTTATTTCCATTAGCACGTTTGCTGTGTACAATGACGACACTGCCTGTGAGGACTTGACACACACGCAAGGCACACCCCAAGGGTCTCTTCCTTCTCTTCTCCCGGCCGTCCTCCCCTCTCCATCTCTTCTCACCACTCTCTCCCCTCCATCTCTTCCTCTACTTTCCTCTTGCAAAAGAGCTAGCTCCTCATTTCCTATTCTTCATCTTTTCTTTTTTTGTCTTTTTGAGACAGGGTCTCACTGTGCAGTTCAGGTTGGACTTGAGCTCACTTTACAGCCCAGACTGGTCTTGAACTTGCAGCGATCCTGCTGCCTCAGCCTCCTGAGTGCTGGGGTGACAGGAGTGCCACCACACCTAGCTTTTCTCCAGCTTTTATTTGGCTCTTTATTTATATTTTGGGTTTCTCGTGTAAAAGAAGCCACACGATATTTAAGCTCTTGTGTCTGATTTATCTCACATGATGGTCTCGTGGCACATCCCTTCTCCTTTAGAGGGTTTCCCTCCCTGGTGCCCTAAGATCTAAAACCTGAAATCCTCCTACTGAAATCATTGGCTAGATATAGAAAGCCGCTGTCTTACAATCTCCTCCGTAAATGACCCTGGCAAGAGCTGTCCAGGAGGAAGAATGGCACAGTTAGTCCCAGCCTGCTTCTTGCCAGCTACAGCCATGCACGGATGCAGCAGTTTCGTCACTGTACAAACATCACAATGCATGTTTACACAAAGCCACTACACCCGTAGGTTGCATGGCGTAGCTTCTTGTCCCCGTGTTCCAAAGCTATACAGCATGTCACTCTACAGGACACAGTAAACCATGGTAAGATGTCTTTTCTTTCTTTCTTTCTTTCTTTCTTTCTTTCTTTCTTTCTTTCTTTCATAGTGCTGGAATTGGAACTCAGGACCTTGCACCTGCCAACTAGGCACTGTACCACTGAGCCATAGCCCCCACCCTGGATGGTGAGATGTGTATTTTGGTGTACCCAGGTATGGAGGCACACACCGGAACTCCCAGCCTACTTGGTAGCCAAGGCAGGAGGATCACTGGCTCAAGACCAATCTGGGCATGTAGGAAGACCCAGGCCCAAAATAAAATATTTCAAAAGGGCCGTATATTTTTGAAAATAAAATATTTCAAAATATACACTGGGGTGTAGCTCAGTGGTAGAGTGCTTGCCTAGCAGGCATAAGCTTCTAGGTCTCATCCCCAGTACCACAAACAAATAAATCCTGAGCAAAAGTTTAAAATAAAGCTATCAAAACATTAAAAAGTTGCAATAAAAAGTACTAGATGACAAGAGCTGGTCTCATAGGACACTTGCCATACATGTAGCCTGTCCTGAATAAAGACTTTGTTAGGAGGGGCATAACCGAGTTGTCTGTTTATTTACTTTTTTATTTTGGTGGATTGTTTTGTTTTGTTTTTTGTCTTTTTGAGACAGGATCTTGCTATGCAGTTCAGGCTGGGCTTGAGCTCACTCCGTAGCCCAGGCTGGCCTCAAACTTGCAGTGTTCCTCCTGCCTCAGCCTCCCAAGTGCTGGGATGACAGGAGTGTGTTATCACACCTGGCATATTTGTTAACTTAAAAAAGGAACAACAGCAGCTTCGGGCTTCAGGGTACAGCAAATCACCAGACACTATGTGATGAAGGTTGATGCTGGGTTTTCTCTAATAAGAAAGACAGGGGCTGGTGAGATGGCTCAGTGGTCTAAAGCACCTACTAAGAACAAGCTTAGCAAAGCACAGGGACTGCGGTTCAATCCCCCAGCACCACATGCCAGCCAGCCCCGCCCCCTGGTGGGCT